ATTAATTGAGTCACTATTAAAACATATAAATAATTGAGTCATGATGCAATTATTTTTGAAGATTTTGAGAATTGAGTTAACAACAAAATAATTTATGCCACATATATAGGTCGAACTATTGCCAGCAGGCTAGGATGTGAAAAAAGTATAGTTAACGATATTATTAAACACTTTAAAAAAACTGAAACAGTCGTTCCGAATAAATCACTAGGCAAACTCCTGCTTCTTACCTCTCTTGATTAAGCTTAACTCAAGGATATCATCATGAACGATGAAGCCACAAAAATTAGAAATGTTTGGTTAGCATATACTAAAAAAACTATCTCTACCATCACTATTAGACAGAACCTAAAAAAAATAGGACTTCGATCTTGCAGGCTCCACCCGAAACTGTATATCTCTAAAACGAATTGCGAAAAATTTTTAGAATTTGCTTTCCAACATAAACACTGGAAACCTTGGCAATGGAAAAGAATTTTATTTTCAGACAAATTTATATTTACTTTATTCCAACATAGTGATCAAATTTGGCAAGAAGCAAATAAAGAACTTAAACTATCCTGTATTTCTGCTTTGGCAAAATACAGTTCAAGCCTAATGTTTTGGGGTGCTTTGCTTATGGTGGCTTAGGTCCTATTGTTCCTCTTTATAGATCAGTTACTGGTACTGCACATGCTAAAACTGTTAAAAAATATGTCATATCCACCATGCAAAAATTTTTTTCATGTCGGGATATTTTTCAAAAGAATAATACAATGCCACACAAGTCAAAAGTTGCTACAGCCATTTGCGAAGCTCACGGAATCAAAAAATTATCATGGCCCCCAGAGTCCCGACTTGAATCCTATAGAGAATTTATAACATGAAATAAAAGAGGCAATTCATAAAAAATCAACTGTTCCGTCAAACTTTAAAGAATTAAAAAAATATGTGAAATGTATATGGAGAGATCTTCCGTTCAAATATTATCAAAGACTGATTGACAGCATGCCTAATCAAGTCAATGCAGTCATTACCACAAATAGATATTATACGAAATATTAATAATAAAAATTATAGATAGAAGTTTAATAAATAAAAAATAAAAAAAATTTTTATTTTTTATTTTTTTAAGTTAAAAAATTTTACTATTTAAAAGTGGCTAGATCTTTTTGATGACTTATTGTAATTTGTTAAAAAGTATATTGGATATATACGTAGTAAGGTTTCTTTTTTTTTTTTTAGAGGCAAAGTACATTACATGCGAACTTTATTAACTTAGCATTGAAGTTACAATCCTTACATGAAGAGTCTGACTAACTATATTAGCTATTCTAACCCTAGCACTGCCTTTAATTCTAACCTGGCTACCAACTAACACCCCGGAGGTGGGTTCGCAATCCAGGCGTGGTCTATTCAAAGGGCATTTTTGTTACTTGCCACCGTTATTAGGGTTCTTATCACATCTCACCTACCACCACCTGACCCCAGCTGCAGCTCGGACCGATTAATGCAGGTATGTACTTCCTAGCGAATGCTCCGGTTTGCCGTCGGTTGGATACTAATCAATTGGTACAGTATTGAAATTTTCAGTTTAGTATTTTTATATAAAAATTAGTACTAAAACTGATTGGAATCCTAACTACTGCTATAATTTCTATTATATCTTGTATATAAACTATATTGAGATTTCTCCAAATACTGACTTTAAGTTATTAATTTATTCTATAATCTGGATTATAGCAAAAGGACCAAAACTAGCATGCCAAAATTTCACTGGTGTATTTTAGCATTACTGTACTATTTAGGTTTTATTTGGGAGTATACCCTACTCAAGATTAGTTTTACCACTCTGTATCACCTGTAACTGTAAAAGTCTTTAAGAAACTGTTAATAATTTCAAAAGACAGTGAACTTTAGTGTTTTAATTTTAAACGCCAACAGAAGTTGGGACTT